TTTTACTTGTAAACATATTTTACTTTTTCGTAATAATTAATTAATTAATTAATTAGATTTATGCATGAGGGCCCCACTGAAAACCGCCTTGGCGAGTTGGGCTCCCTCTATAAATATTATTATTATTATTTATTATTATTATTAGATGATGATATTGATGAGAATAATAAGACTTTTAGAATGTGTCGGTTATGTTAACTGAGGAGAAAAGGCCTTCTTATACGACACTTAACCCTAATTAGACCAGCCTTTTTTTGCTTCCGGAGCTCCGCCCCGCCTTCACCCCCTCTATAACTGCAAAACCGCTCATGATACGGCCACCTAAATTAAACAATATAATATAATCATCATTTCCAACATCTATAGGCATGACTTGGTTGACACAATGGCGTAACTTGACCACATTATGAAGTCGATCATATTGTTGAGTTTATTGGAAGAATCCAAATTCCATCAATTTCCCCCCTCAAAACGAAAAATACTTAAAATGGTAAGGCGTCTGAAAAGATCAAGGATTTCTGTAGGACATTAATAACCTTAAGAAGCTAACAAATCCGCAAGTTGTGAAAATCCGAGAAATTAACAAGAATGTTAAGAATTGAAAGGGTAGACATATTAAGTTCTGCAAGCAGAATACTGCAATGCTGATCGCACTACGTGCTACTCTGCAAAACATCAACACGACACCGAAAGAACTAAAAACAGAGCGGGATTGTAGCCATAGACAGCTGTTTCGGCCTCTTTCGCGCTCGTCAGTATGGCGTAACAACCAGAGAAAACTCTGGTGAAAAATAAAAACTCTCAACACCCACAGAATTACGCCATACCACGTGTCTTCTGGGGGGCAAGAGTGTCAAGTTGATGTCTCGCAGAGAAAATAAAAAATTGGCCAAAACCAACCTATAGAACATGGACAAAACCATGCAAGAATTACGGCATATCGGATCTATAAAAGATCTACGGCCCCAGAATACGTAAAGTACAAACATTAACCACAAAGGACTGCAAAGGACCGCAAACGAATAATTGAAAGGGTATTACCTCAGACAATTGGTCATTCAAATTCATATGTTTTTCTCAAAACAGTCACGGAAAAGACTGGATCACACTAACAGCTACAATTGATAATTTGATAAAATATTGCTAAATTTAATAACTAAAATTAGAAATAAATCCTTTTAATAGGAAAAAGCAAATATTTAAGAGCATGGCTGTCAAAACTCGCTTGACATTGCTCCAGAAGAGCCCCCCGTCTGAAGAGGGTTAAACATTACCTAACCTACTACTGATAATAAAACATATATAATATGTTACAATGAAATAAAAGATTGAATCTATACATAAAACTTAAGTATGACTTTTTTAAAACCTTCTTTAAAGAGAAATGTCTCAATTGTGTCTTTTCATAGAGTACGATAATAAATTTCGCAACTTCTAAAAATTAAAATCAATAAAACTGAATTTAGAATTAAATTCTGATGAACATTTAGGGTAAGGTGAGAGTTGATATGTTGCATATAAGTTACAGTTTTTGCAGAGATATAATTTCAAGAATATTGGTCATATCAAATATTTCTGGTCTTTATGGAGTGTTTGTCCCGTAGCGAAGGTTCTATGAAGTGAAGAGATTGCTTTCCGAGGTGACGGGAGAAACTGACGAGAAAGATTCTTACCGTATTTATTCGAATAAGCGTCCACCTCAAACCCACCCGACTCCCACTCAAACTCAAAAACTCAATAAGCGCCCACTACCACCCCACCCCATTTCCCCTTCCACCCCCCAAAAAACTGAATAAGTACCAATAAGAGACTTTCCCGAAGACGGAGTTTTCTTCAGACTATTTTACAGAAACCTTGCTTTGTTGCATGTTCACGTTTTGTTATTACCATTTGTTATTTTGTTGCAAAGTAAACATACTACACTTGCTTAAAATGGTGAAAAATGTAATAAGCGCCCAGCCTCGAATAAGCGCCCACTCTCAAGGTCTAAAAATTTTATTACCGCCCTAAAACCGATTAAAAATTTTAGCATCAAAAAACTTTATCTTTATTTGCTTGATGTTCTATGTGTAAGACATCTGTCCCATGTTCTGTCGTGAATTGTAATACCTGTCGAAAATTGTAACAACAGTTGTTGAGAATTGTAACGACCAAGCTATCGTAAATTGTAATAAACGTTGTTGTAATTTGTAATAAGCCTAGCTGTCGTGAATTGTAATAACACATTGTCGTATTTTGCAATACTTCTTAATGTCAAGGGCCTACCTACTGAAATTTTGTTGTCAATCAAAAACATTTAAGCAATTATGTAGCCAGCATTATAGCAACAACTAAATCATCTCACCGACCACCTGATAAACGCATTCGAAACAGTCAAACAACCAACTGCCTGTGTATAATTGTTCATTTTCAAGACTTATTACAAAACACGACAATATGTTATTACAATTCATCAAGACCGCTCGGCTTATTACAATTTACGACAGCATGTTATTACGATTTACGATAGCTTGGTTATTACATTTCTCGACAACTGTTATTACAATTTACGACAGAACATTCTATCATTTGTAGCTTTGTTTCTTTCGCATTAAATAGTTTCTCATCTTTCTTACACTTGAATGTCGTTATGTCGTCACTTCATTTAACGGTTACTTCAGAAGACGTATCGTGTAGCATACGAAACGTCAAGTTAAAGAAAGGATGCTCTATGTTATTATTCAAGCACTGCAGTACTATTTTCGCAGATGGCGTGATATTTCTTATTACGTCGTTTGAGATCTTGATCCTCCTCCACGGCCTGAGGGGCAAACTTTATAGAGTCAAGGCTTATAATGAGGAAGCAGACCACTGAATTATAAATTCAAAAAGGAAAGAGGAAAGTTTTCGCATTCCGATTTCTGATAGTGTGAGCAATTTATATAAGGGACATTAGAGACCTTAACGGCGTTTTTAAGCTACGGACGGCAATCGGAATTGAAGTTTCTGCGTGCGAGTTCTTACAAGTAGTTGTTTTGTCTAAATTTTGGACAAATCGTCTCTATGAAGGTAAAGAAAGGTACCAATACAAATTTAAAAGGTAGAAGGCCTCACTTCCGATTGAGGTACGTCGCTCAAAAACGCCTCCCCAATTCATTTTCACATTCACATTCTAAATAAAGTTTCGAAAGCCTACACGCCTTATTTCTCTTTGTAGTTTATCTAGCTGAGTGAACCATATATGCATCCCAAATCGGAAGACATTTGAGCTGCTAAAGAAAAATTAAAACAGATAAGTCTCACCACCTCTCACAATTCTGATTGGCTAAAATTACCCGGCTATTTCTTCACAACCTGCTAGCATTTACCAACTTTGGAAGATGTTTGTCGATATCCACAAAAGTGTCGTCTTCTTTTCGAGTGATTGACAGGAAAAGGGACAGACGGCGGCGCAGCGCCAAGCTGTTTTGGCAGTCGCAGAGTTGGAGAAGGTGGCAGAAGATTTTAATCGTAAAGCGAAGGCAAAACAGCTGAGCTAATGCCCTAAAATATACAAGAATATCTGCAAAAATACAATTCGACGGATGACAACTACTTTTTGAAGATTATCTGCCAGAAGAAACATCCCTTAACATATCCTGAAATTGCCGAGGAAAAGGCAGATGCTCTGAAGGCGGAACTTTACATAAATCGAGGTAAACAGAGTTTGAATCTCTTTCACGCCTTCTGTTGAACAAATTAAATATTAAAGCACATTTTAAAACTGACTACCGATAAATGAAAAGAAGGTCCTGAAAATGTCTATATTGTATCCTTCTCATTTTCAAATCGCGCTCACGAACTAAAAGATAACTCAAAAAAGGTTCCTAATCAATATTTTCTGTTGACAGACCATATTCAGGTTTAGGGGAATATATCAAAAAATCACCTAGAAATTCAGGGATGAATGATACATCTTTTTTTATTCTAAGGTATCGACCCCAAGTATTAATTGAGATACGTCGAAACTGGTCTATTATCAAACAGAGTTTCTTGCATGAAATTTTATAAGTTTGGCGAAAAAGGCGGTAGCAGTGGACAGTTTTTGGTATTTATTTTCGGTGGCAAGCAGGTGAACAAAGTGAAACATTCAGGGGAAAAGAAGCTCTTAAGGTAGGGGTAAGTAGAAGGTTAAAAATCAGAAAAAAAAAAAAAGAGAAATAGATTATGAACTTAAATCATTCCTTAGGAACCTTTTTATTCAGAATTGCAAACTAATTTTTGGAAGTTTATGTTTTGCCGCAGGCGAGGTTAAATAAGGTCTTCGACGCGGGCTATAGATGGAATGGAGACATTTTCCGTTGTGTGTGTTTTATCTCCATCTCTTGTTAGCCTTTACTTTGACGATATGAAGTTTACTAAAGCCGGCAAGTGATCTCGCGGCCCCTCCCCGAGAGTTAACAAACCAAAATATTCGATGAATTTGTTTAAATATATTCTGGTTTTATTTCGCCTTTCTGTGTTTGTTTCAGTTTTCCTTTTTAATTGTTTTGGTCTCGGGATCAATCCGCCATCTTGGCAATATCCAGCCACACGACAAAACCACAGGTAACCCACCCTCAATGCTTGTAACAAGGTAGGTAATTATTGTAAAATTACCGTGTTTGTATGGGGGTAAAGTTTCGATCTCAAATTTTTAGGAAATAATTGATGGCAAAAATTCAATGAAACTCATTTGTTCCTCTCCTTAATGCTAACATGGAGTTTCGTGATATATTCTCAAATCTTCCATTCATGCAATAAAATACTCAAGCGACGGGTTTTTTAACGGTAAATAAACAGCATAGTAATTGCTAACAAAAAGGAAGCGCATATCAGTAGTGACAATCAATGTTCTTTCCTCATTACCAGAAAAAAAATCATGATTTTCTTTTTTAAACAGACAGCCTACTCTCAACGGCTCCTTCTACAGAGAAATGGCTCAAGCAACAAATTTTGCAGAAAATAAAATCCTGGAGAAATTCAACAGGGAATCGTGGTGCATGGCAGAGTTAGCTTCAGAAGTAAAACACGAGCTAATCTTTCTCTTGGTGGTTAATATTTCTGTGTCCTTTACTGCATTTCTGGGGAACTCTCTGATCCTAGTGGCTCTGCAGAAAGAATCTTCACTTCATCCACCGTCCAAACTCCTGTATCGTAACCTAGCGATAACTGATCTCTGTGTCGGAGTGATTGCAGAACCTGTTTATGTTGCCTATTTTATTTCCGTGCTAAGCGATAAATGGAATATTTGCTTTTACGCGGATGTATTAACTTTTTTCACGTGCTATGTTTTTAGTGCCGTGTCATTATTTACATTGGCTGTAATAAGCGTTGACAGACTTCTCGCACTGTTACTGGGGCTGAGATACAGACAAGTTGTAACTTTGAAAAGAACACTGGTGACCCTAATTGTTGGTTGGATTTTGTCCATTGTGGTTTTATTGACCTACCTTTGGGATCCTATTGTGACGTCATGGTGCGTCAAGGTAGCCTTATCTGTTTGTCTCGTCACCTCATTTGTTTGTTACGTCAAGATTTTCTTGATTCTGCGTCATAACCAAATCCAAGTGCTGGACCACTTTCCTCAAAGACAACAGAACCAACAGGTTCCACTTAACATAGCGCGATACAGGAAGGCAGTGTCTGCTGCATTGTGGGTGCAGATGACATTAGTTGTTTCTTACCTGCCGTTTCTTATAACCGAAGCTTTGAAACATCAGCGAGGGATACCACTATCGCTTTACCATGCAAGGGAATTTACCGGTACCTTAGTTCTTCTAAACTCCTCTTTAAACCCGTTACTGTACTGTTGGAAGATTAGAGAAGTAAGGCAAGCCGTAAAGGATACCATGAGAGAACTTTTATGTTCATCGCCAAATTAGATTGTTATATAGCTGGAGAATTTTTTCCAACAGCGCGTTCTCTCATTGGTTACTTCCACGTCCCATGAAATCTATAACGAGGAAACTGTTTCACGCCAAAATCCCTGAGCTGGCAACATTGCAAATCTACGACGTCAGAGGGTAACAGTGCACTGTTCCCTGCGACTAGGGACTTTACGCAGTGACGACGGGAATTAAGCTTAGACGGCGGCGTTCGCTTTGAAATTACGTCACGAGCATGCACCACAGTGAAGGTATTCATGTGTAAAAGCTATTGTGCTCCAGTCCACGACTTCAGTTCGCCTGTTTTGAAGTCGACTTGTCGACGTGAGTCGACATGAGTTGTATTGCTTAGAAAATATTTTTCTTCGCTACATTTATCGGTCCATCTCCAGGTCATTCATCTTAGTTTCCAACCTGATGATTTCTTGAGAAATCGAAGCGCGCATCTTGAAACGAACACGAGGTCATCAAAATTGTAATTTTGTAATTTGTTTACCCACGGGTCACTAAGGAGTTCATAAGAACTCGTTGAAACGTGTCCGTGCGTTCCAGATCGAATTGGAATTTGAAAGTGTTGGTTTTTAAGGAGAGGGGAAAACCGGAGTACCCGGAGAAAAACCAACAACAAACTCAACCCACAAATGGCGTCGACGCCAGGATTCTAACCCGGGCCACATTGGTGGGAGGCGAGCGCTCTCACCACTGCGTCACCCTTGCTCCCCTATCAACGTAAGATAAACTATTTTACATCCAGAAAACAGACGTGGCTTTGTTTCCACTAGTTTCCATTGATTTAAGAATGAAAGTGTTAACAAATATTTGTGAGCAGTCGCATATTCGGCGGTTCTTTAATATGAGGCTAAACGGACGAGAATTCTGGCTTGATTTGTTTAAATCATACAACATCAAAAAAATCTTCGTCATTGATAAAATTTTCGTTTCCGAACTGTGAGCAAAAAGCAACATATCTCTGACTTCTTTTAAAGAACGCATACCGTATAAAGCAGTCACTAGTCGGGAATCAAGGTTTTAGAATCAACAGTTGCACAGATAAAAAGGTTAATAGACTTAAATGTCTAATCCCTTTCGCCCGCGTCGCCGAGAAAATTGTTTTGCATTTCGCGCCAAAATCAGGAGTGCCGTCCTAGAATTCATCGATGCGTAACGTAACTCGACAGTGGACAGACTGAGGTCATCGTTCCAAGCCCTTTCGGTCGGGAATACCGTCGTGAAAACCTCCCGTCGTCGTTGCGTGCAGTCCCTAATGTTTACCGACGACCGCCGTTACAGCGAGGTTTATTGAATTTCCAGCCTCAAAATTACCAGGGCTCCGCCTCGGGAAACATTGAGATTCTCGACGAACAAAATTAATTGTTTTTCTTAGGATCAGTCATTAAGTGTTAATTGTTAGATCTATTGACTACAGTCGGGCCTCCCTTAAGCGACCACTCAAAATGCGAAGTTTTAATGGTCAATTACGGGACGGTGTTGCTTACGGATCTTCTTTTTGGAGGGAATTTATTGCATGCAATTTCCAAGGTACGATATAAGTCGTTTCATGATTTGACAGAAAGTTTTTCGTATGTACGTATACAGGGCTGAAAGAGATCACACCATACGCAAAGTGGTCGCTTATTATATGTGTACAGTCAACTTTTGCCTTGCGGACACCTCGCTATAACGGACACCCCGATAATACGGACAGTAGCCAAATCCCTGGCAAAAACAAATTACAGACGTTTGACTGAAACAAATTACTCCCGCTATTATGGACTCTCGTTAGTGAGGACACTAACTCGAGGTCCCTTACAGTGTCCGCAATAACCGGAGTTAACTGAAGTCCTCTTCTTTTGGAATTTTGTAGTCCTTTTTTGGGTATTGGTAATGTCGAGGCTAATAAAATGGAGAACACTAACTATTATTTATGGCTATTAATTATTAAGATCCATTTTAAACTATTCGAAGTCTGTTTCATATGATACCCTCTTAAATATAGCTGCATGACTGATATCCAAACTTTAGATCAGCATCAACAGTTTCAATCGTTAATTATGCTGTACAAGTGTTTGTACCGACCAGTGCGTACTGTATGTTAGTGGATTTTTTTACATTTAAGAGTGTCTCATGCAATTTACGTGAGCTTGGCACAACGCTTGAGCTACCATCTTTTAATTTAGAATGTATGCATAAATCTTTTACGTGAAATAGTTCATCGCCAGTAATTAGAGAATCGAAAGACATTAGAATTTTTAAGCGATCTCTTGAAGCCTTCATGTTTAAAAGCTTTCAAATTTTATAAGGATTTTAAATTTTATCTGTAAATAATGTCTGTAATACTAATTGTAAATATCATTTCTAACGTATTAGTATTTTAGATTGCTCGTTATTACTTGACTAGTTTTTATTGATTTCTTTTACATTTATTTCATTATACATGTACACGTTTTAATCGAACACATGTGAACTAGTCCTAGGTGTCCCGTGGTTGAATAAAGTTGATTTATTGATTAATTATAAAAACGTTATCCCGAAAAGAGTCGTGGTTCTAATTACCGTAGAAAGGCCTGCTTGAGAACACTTAACCCTAGTAAGACCAGCCTTTTTTGCTTCCGGAGCTCCGAACCGCCCCCACCCTCTCTATAACTGCAAAACCGCTCATGATACTGCCACCAAAATTACACGAAATAATATAATCATCATTTACAACATCTATAGACATAATTTGATTGACACAATGGCGTAATTTGACCAAATTATGACGTCGTATTGTTGAATTTATTTGCAGAATCCAAATTCCATCAATTTCCCCCCTCAAAACGAAAAATACTTAAAATAGTTAGGCGTCTGACAAGATCAAGCAGTTGGCCAGTGCATTAATAACCTTTTAATAACAGCACTGATGTCATGGTGACATCATTTATTACCAGGAGCCCATAAGCGGCAGCGAGAAAGTTTTCCTTGAGCTAGTGTCATGGCGTTTTCATGGAGCAGAAATATTTTTAGACCGGTTTTGGCGCTAATATTAAATATCTTTTAAATCCCACAAACCAGTCAGCAAAACCTACAGACCTAAAAATGATATATATTCTTGCCTTTTAATCACGTTTACTTTTTCTTTTTGTTATCTTATCCTGGTGGAGATTCTATTTTCGCGGGAAAAAATGCCCTAAAATGTGTCTAAAAATAAACTGATCCGTAAAATGTCGCGACATGGGCCAAGTATGGGAGTTGCTCGCTCCGGGTTATGGGCTCCTGTTATTACTAAGAAGGATCTGGAACCATCCATCATCTTGGATCCGTGAATTCTAAATTGAAGCAAATATTTCAGGAAACACGCTCAAATTCGAGACAGCTTTGTTGTGAAGTTTTCATCGCATCGATTAAAAATTTTAGTTGAGTTTAAACGGGCACATTACGCTGGAATAAGCGAATTTCATTTGAGTACAGAAACATTTGGGTTTTCAGATAAATTTTTCAAAAAATAACTTCTGTGTGTATTATTTTGTTCCTCAGTGTTCATTCATAATTTTCGTTCAGAGAACTGTCGAAAAACAACAGCTTCAGCGCTGGCTATGTGTCGGCGAATTTCAGTTGCAACTTTGACTTTCATAGCTGGATTTCCCCAGACAGATTTCGATACAAAGCTAGTTAATTTCTTTTTAAAATTAGTGTTACCTGTTATTCTAAAGGAATTACAGTCAAGTTTTTCTCATTTCTACTTTACGTTTATTTCAAAAATTGTCACATAAATAAGCTTGATAATTATTTCATTTATTTAGTTTTAACTCATTTTTTAGAGTCTTTTTAGTTGCTGTTTATAGTTGCAGCTATAGTTTTCCCTCAACATTAAGAGCGAGTAGACAGATCCCATTCAGAATAACAACGAAAAACGTTTTTCAATTTACCTGAAGACGGAGAACGGTTGATTCAGAGAAAGAAAAACTCAAATGCAAGTTGTTGAAAACCATAGAACATGATTTGTTTACGCGCGGGCAGATGGAAGCATACATGAACTCGTACCGATGACTCAACCGTAGGCAAATGGAAAATAATGTTTTTCTCTTTTGATTATGTTATAAAAGAAACGGTAAACGTTGCAGCTGTGCAACCATGGAGTTATGGATGCACTTGGGAGGTTTGCTAAGCACGAAAGAATCGTAAGAGTCGCACGAGGCGATAGCCGAGTGCGACTCTAGCTTGTAAAGAACACTATTTTCAAATCAAAAATGGATTACTATTGTAGCCTTATCTATTCAGCTGAAAGTGACAGCAAAACCCTGTTTCGCACAATTACTCGTCTTCTTCACAGGAAAGCAGATAGACTTTTCCCTACCAGCTCTTCTACAGTTGATCTCGCCGATAAATTCTTCCACTTTTTTGAGGAGAAAATCGTCAATATCAGAAGTTATCTTGGTTCACCTGTAATTCCTGATTTCTTTGGAACCCTAGATACTTCATCACTAACCAATTATCCTGAAGATTTTCCATTTGTCACTGGACCGGTTATTTTCCGTCTTTTTTGAAAACTGCTCTTCTATCTCCACTACTTAAGAAAGCCAACTTAGATCATGAAGTTCTTGCAAACTACAGGCCTATTTCAAACCTCAAGGTAATCTCAAAAATTGTTGAAAAGGTCGTCGCAGTACGTCTTCAAAAATTTTTAGAAGCTAACCAGCTAAACAAGCCACTACAATTTGCCTATAAATCTTTCCACAGTTGTGAAACCGTCCTTGTGCGCGTTCATAACGACGTTTTGGTTGCTATTGATAAACGTCAATGTGTTATGCTTCTACTGTTAGACCTGTCTGCCGTCTTCGACAGTCCTCCTTACAAGATTGCACTCTAAATACTCTTTCTCTGGCATAGCTCTTGAATGGTTTCGCTCCTACCTTACTAATCGCTCGCAATTTGCGTTAATCGAAGGGTGTAGATCGCAGTCTCGCGAGCTCAAGTGCGGTGTACCTCAAGGTTCTGTCCTTGGACCGATTCTGTGTGTACTGTATACAGCACCACTGGCCGACATTCTACGATTCCACGAAATGCAATTTTACTTTTAAGCCGATGACACTCAATTGTTTATTTCTTTCTTTACTAACAACGACATGAAATTAACCAACAGTGATAAGTGGATGTCCATCAACAGACTAAAACTAAATAGAGACAAGACCGAACTTCTCTACTCCTTTTTAAAGTATAATCCACAACAATCACTACCCCCTATTCGCTTTGGAACTGACATAATCAAGCCCTCTCCACATGCAAGACACATTGGCGCTATCTTCGATACCACTATGTCAATGCTTCCCCACGCAAACAATATTTGTAAATCTGCCTTTTATCATCTTCCCACCATTTCGCGCATAAGGAAATACTTACCAACGCAAATTACTGAGATTCTAATACACACCTTTGTAACTTCGACACTCGATCACTCCAATTCTCTACTATATAATGTGCCTATAAACGTCATCAAAAAGCTACAGCCGGTGTAGAAGACAGCTGTCAGACTGATTACACGGTCTAGGAAGTCATCACATCACTCCCATTCTCCTCGATCTTCACTGGCTACATGTTTCTGAACGAATTAAATTTAAGATTCTACTACTTACTTTCAAAGCTCTGCATCAGCAATCTCCAACCTACGTTCAAGACCTTATCACCCGCTACTTACCTTCTAGATCGCTTCGGTCATCCTCTACGCTCAGCCTGAATCCTGTCATCTTTAACCTTAAGACCTATGGATCAGCATTCTGTCTCAGCCCCCGAACTTTGAAACAAACTACCTTTCGACATACGCTCATGCGAGAATCTAAGTCTTTTAAACTTAAAACCTGCCTCTTTAAGAACTTTTACTTTAGTCATTAGGAAGATGTATTTGATTTTATATGTGTTTAAATTTATATTTATGTATTTTAATTAACTTTTAATTCTAATTTTTTGACTTTGTTAAGCGCCTAGATCTATTACTGGATAGGCGCTATATAACTGTTCTTCTTCTTCTTCTTCATGGTCAGTTTCCCGCTCCATTGTAAAGCGTATATTGGGGTGTTGATTCAGACAGCAGTCAAGGGAGGGAAAGCACAGCCCTATTTAGCAGTCGAGCCCCAGGAAACGCCTAAGTTCTTCTTTAAAATCCCTTACGTTGGGCACTTCTCAGTGACGGCAGAGAGGAGTATACGCAAACTTGCTAACCGGTCATGTAAACCTATTGATTTAAGGTTAGTCTTTAGTACTTTCAAAGTGAGGAATCTTTTTAATGTGAAAGATGCTGTCCCTGAGGGGCTACGCACGCGTGTGGTCTAGAAATTTTCGTGTGCAAGTTGTAATGCTTGTTATGTTGGTGAAACCAGCCGACACTTCTCCACACGAGTGCGCGAGCACTTACTTTGAGACAGGTCTTCGAACGTTTTTAAACATCTGCAGGGTTCAGAGTTTTGTAGAGCATCCTGCACACCGGATTGCTTCGAGATCCTGGACTCTGCAGCCACTAAGTACCAAGTGAAGCTTAAGGAATCCATGTTTATAAAATGGGAGAAGCCCGATCTCAACCAGCAGGTGAAACACATTAACCTGACTCTCTCCCTGTAAAGAACTAAGCGTCACTCATTTAATTTTGTTTTAGTACGCAATATTGACAACGCAATGTAACGAACTTTGTAAGATCGCGCGCGCTTTAAATTCAACGGCGATTTCAAAATATGTAACACTGAAGATGACGGATGTACCGTCGAAACATGTCTGGAAAATTAAGGAAAGTTGTTATGTTTATACGAATATTAAATTACAAATTAAAAGCGTTCTTAAAAAGATAAGTCTTCAACTGTACTTTAAAAGAGTCAATGTTCATACAGTTTCTAAGGCTAGATGGCAGAAATAATAATAGTAATAAGAATATAAAATTACAAATTAAAAGCTTTCTTAAAAAGATAAGTCTTCAACTGTACTTTAAAAGAGTCAATGTTCCTACAGTTTACAAGGCTAGATGGCAAAGCATTCCATACTGTTGGTCCAGCGTGGAAAAAGGCTCAATCGCCAAAAGTCTTCCGTGTCACCTTAGGGATTACAAGCAATGTTTCAGAATCAGACCGCATGCTGTATCCAGTTCTTTGGCTTTGCAACAAGTAGTTCAGATAAATATTGTGGCGCCAGGCCGTTCAACGTTTTAAAAACTAAAAACGCAATCTTAAATTCTACTCTAAATTTCACTGGTAACCAATGAAGTTCCCTAAGTACCGGAGTAATATGGACAAACTTAGGAATTAAGCATGTAACCCGAGCCGCCGTATTAAGAACTTTTTGAAGTCGGTCATATTGATATTGCGGAAGCTTATACAAAAGAGCGTTGCAATAATCTAAATGTGACGTAACAAACACATGAATTAAACACTTTGTTGATTCTGCAGACAGATATTTCCTAATTTGCCCAATATTGTAAAGCCTCCTAAATGCCTTACTACACACCTTTCCTATATGAATATTCATAGACATATAGTTATCAAACCATGTGCCAAGATTTCTAACATGCTTAAGGGGTTGAATGGTACAATCACCAACTTTAATTGAAGCCATGGTAACCTTAGATAACTGCTGCGACGAACCGATGATTAGAAATTCTGTCTTTGAATCATTAAACATCAACCTGTGTGAGACTAACCAAGTCCTAACATCAGCTATGCAGTTTTCAATAGCCTTAATCGCTTGATCTTGAGCAGCAAACGAATCTGGACGAAACGACACGTACAACTGAGTATCATCAGCGTACCCATGAACTGATGGAAGGTGCTTCTTAACAACCTCAAACAGCCTTGATGCATACAATAGAAAAAGATTTCCTTGGATATCTCGTATACGAATTATTGCTTCGACCCAAATCTTGGCGAGGGTCTTAGTATATTTACCTTCTTTCATTTCCCAGATTCTGGACTTTACCTGTCGAATGGTTTTGATTTTTATTTTGATCTACTTTGAATGGCGTGACACTGAAAACCAGCAATATTCTTTGTTCAGTTTTTCGTGATATTTCTTATTAGTACGTCGTTTGAGATCCTGATCCTCCTCCACTGCCTGATCATGAGGGGCAAACTTTATCGAGTCAAGCCTTATAATGAGGAAGCAGACCACTGAATATAACCTCAAAAAAGAAAGAGGCAAGTTTTCGCATTCCGATTTTTGATAGTGTGAGCAGTTTATATAAGGGACATTAGAGACCTTAACGGCTTTTTCAGTGACGGACGGCAATTGGAAGTGAAGTTTCTGCATGCATGCTTAGGTAGTTGTTTTGTCCAAATTTTTTGGCAAATCGTCTTTACTAAGGTAAAGTAAGGTACCAATACAAATTCAAACGATTGAGGTACGTCGCTCAAAAACGCCTTCCTAATTGTCAGGGTAACTAATCACATTCACATTCTAAATAAAGTTTCGAAAGACTACAGGTCTTACTACTCTTTGGAGTTTATCTAGCTTAGTGTAACCATATATGCATCTCAAATTGGAAGACATTTGAGCTGCTAAAGACAAATTAAAGTCTCACCACCTCTCACAATTCTGATTGGCTAAAATTACCCGGCTATGTCTTCATAACCTGCTAGCATTGACCGACTTTGGAAGATGTTTGTCGATATCCATAAAAAGTGTCGTCTTCTTTTCGGATGATTGACAGAAAAAAAGGACAGACAGCGCTAAGCTGTTTTGGCAGTCGCAGAGTTGGAGAAAGCGGCAGAAAATTTCAATCGTTAAAAGCGAACTAAGACAAAATAGCTGAGATACAAGAATATCTGCAAAGATACCATTCGACGGATGACAACTACTTTTTGAAGATTATCTAGCAGAAGAAACATCCCTTTACATATCCTGAAATTGACGAGGAAACGGCATATCAGTGTTCTGAAGGCGGAACTTTACATAAATCGACGTAAACACAGTTTGAATTTCGAAATATTTTGAATAAAAAGGAAAACAACTACTGGTTCCGCATTCAAATGATATGAAGAATTATGCAGATCTCGGAGGAGCCGAGGTGGATAATTCGCGGATACCACCCGTCTTGATCTGTATAATTTATTCAAATCAATTATTTATCTACATCCATGCAATGAAAACGAATCAACGAATCACATCGAGGATTAATTCCCGCCGAGAGACATTTGAACAATTAAAGAAGCACATTTTAAAACTGAGCGACAACCGACAAATGGAATGAAAGTAATTAAAATATATATAATGTATTCTTCTCATTGTCAAATCGCGCTCAGGAACAGAATGATAAGTTAAGAAAGGTTCCTAATCAATATTTTCTGTTGACAGTCCATATTGGGGCTTACGGGAATATAGAAATCAGCTATAGAAGTTAAGGGATGAAAGATACATTTTTTTTATTCTAAAGTATCGACGCCAAGTATTAATTGAAATAGATCGAAATTGGTCTATTATCAAACACAGTTTCTTGTATGAATTTTTATAAGTTTGGCTAAAAAGGCCCTAGCAGTGGACAGTTTTTGTTATTTATTTTCGGTAGCAAGCAGGTGAACAAAGTGAAACACGTACACAGGGGAAAAGAAGCTCTTAAGGTAGGGACAAGTAAAAGGTTAAATACCAGAAAAAAAGAGAAATAGATTATGAAATTTAATCATTCCTAAGATAACTTTTATTCGGAATTACAAACTAATTTTTGGAAAACTTTCAAAAATTTAAGTTCATGTTTTGCCGCAGACGAGTTTAAATATCGTCTGCGACGCGGCTACAGATGGCATGGAGATGTTTTCCGTTATGTGTGTTTTATCTCCATCTCTTGTTAGCCTTTACTTGGACGATATGAAGTTTACTAAAGCCTGCAAATGATCTCCTGGCCCTTCCCCGAGAGTTAGCAAACCCGCAAAATATTCGGAAAATTTGTTTAAATACATTCTAGTTTTATTTCGCCTTTGGTTTCTTTGCCTGTTTTTTTTTTTCTAACTGTTTTGGTCGCGGGATCATTCCGCCATCTTAGCAATAACCAGTCACACCACAAACCCATAGGTAACCCACGTTCAATATTGGTAACACGGTAGGTATATATTGTAAAATTACCTATCAAAAATTTTTAGGAAATAATTAATGGCGAAAATTCAGTGAAACTAAACTCTGCAGTAATTTGTTGCTGTCCTTAAAGTTAACATGGAGTTTCGGGATATATTGTCAAATCCTCCACTCATTCAATAAAATACTAAATCGACGGGTTTTTTCACGGTAAAAAGCAGCATAGAAATCGCTACCTATAAGGAAGTGCATATCAGTAGTGACAATCAATGTTCTTTCCTCATTACGAGAAAAATAATATCATGATTTTTTTTTTTTTTAACAGACAGCTTACTCTCAGCGCCTCCTGCTACAGAGAAATGGCTCAAGCAAAAATTTTGCAGAAAATAAAAGCCTGGAGAAATTTAACAGCGAACTTCGGTGCACGGCCGTGTTTTCTGGAGAAGTAAAACATGAGCTAATCTTTCTCTTGGTGGTTAATATTTCTGTGTCCATTACAGCATTTCTGGGGAACTCTCTGATCCTAGTGGCTCTGCAGAAAGAATCTTCACTTCATCCGCCGTCCAAACTCCTGTATCGTAACCTAGCGATAACTGATCTCTGTGTCGGTATGATTGCAGAGCCTGTTTATGTTGCCTATTTTATGTCCGTGCTAAGAGATAAATGGGATATTTGCTTTTACGCGAATTTGTTACGTTTTTTCACGGGCTATGTTTTTAGTGCCGTGTCATTATTTACATTGGCTGTAATAAGCGTGGACAGACTTCTCGCCCTGTTACTGGGGCTGAGATACAGACAAGTTGTAACTTTGAAAAGAACACTCATGACCCTAGTTGTTGGATGGATTTTGTCCATTGTGGGTATATTGGCCTACCTTTGGGATCCTATTGTGACGTCATGGTGCGTCAGGGTAGCCTTACCTGTCTGTCTCGTCACCTCATTTGTCTGTTACGTGAAGATTTTCGTCATTCTGCGTCATAACCAAATCCAAGTGCTGGACCACTTTCCTCAAAGACAGCAGAACCAACCAGTTCCGGTTAACATGGCGCGATACAGAAAGGCAGTGTCTGCTGCATTGTGGGTGCAGATGACATTGGTTGTTTCTTACCTGCCGTTCCTCATAACCGAAGCTTTGACACCTCAGCGAGGGATGCCACTATCGCTTTACCTTGGAAGGGAATTTACCGGTACGTTAGTTCTTTTAAACTCCTCTTTAAACCCGTTCCTGTACTGTTGGAAGATCAGAGAAGTAAGGCAAGCAGTGAAGGATACCATCAGAGAACTTTTATGTTCATCGCCAAATTAGATTGTTATATAGCTAGAGAATTTTTTCCAACAGCTCGTGCTCTCATTGGTTACTTCCAGGTCGCATGAAATCTGTAACGAGGAAACTGTTTCCCGACAAATCTCTGAGCGGGCAACATTGCCAATCTATGACGTCAGAGTTCCCTGCAAATAGGGACTTTACGCAGTGACGACGGAAAGCTTAGACGACGGTGTTCGCTTTGAAATTACGTCACGAACATGCGCCATCGTGAAGGTATTCAATGCATGTGTAAAAGCGATCGTGCTCCAGTCCACGACTTCTGTTGGCCTGTTTTGAAGTCGACTTGTCGACGTGAGTTGACATGAGTTGTGTTGCTTAGAAAAAATTTTTCTTCGTCACATTTTCCTCTCCATCGACATTTAACTTCAGGTTATTCATCATAGTTTCCAATCTGATGTGTTTAACGCGGACTTTCAACTTCAAGTTGACCGATTTTTTTCTTGAAAAATCAAAGCGTTCATCTCGAAACGAACACGAGGTCATCAACGTAAGTTAAGCTATTATACATCAAGAAAACAGACGTGGTTTTGTTTCCACTAGTTTCCATTGATTTAAGAATGAAAGTGTTAACAAATATTTGTGAGAAGTCGCATATTCGGCGGTTCTTTAATATGAGGCTAAACGGACGAGAATTCTGGCTTGATTTGTTTAACTCATACAACAGCAAAAAATTCTTCGTCATTGATTAAATTTTCGATTTTTAATTAGCGAACTGTGAGCAAAAAGCAACATATCTCTGACTTCTTTTAAAGAAGGCATACCGTATAAAGCAGTCATTAGTCAGGAATCAAGGTTTTAGAATTAACAGTTGCACAGATAAATAGCTATAAAAGTCTAAATGCCTTTCACCGGCGTCGCCGAGAAAAATTGTTTTGCATTTCTCACGGCCAAAATTAGGAGTGCCGTCCTAGAATTCATCGATGTGTAACGTAACTCGACGGTGGACAGACTGAGGTTATCGTTCCAGTCCCTTTCGGTCGTGAATGCCGTCGTGAAAGCCTCTTGTTGTCGTTGCGTAAAGTCCCTAGTCTTGATCGACGACCGCCGAGATTTATTGAATTTCCAGCCTCAAAATTACCAGGGCTCCGCCTCGGGAAACATTGAGATTATCGAGAAACAAAATTAACTTTTTTCCTGAGGACCGCTGATTAAGTGTTTATTGTTACATCTATTGACTACAGTCGGGCCTCCCTTATGCGACCACTAAAAATGGGAAGTTTTAATGGTCATTTACGGGACGTTGTTGCTTACAGATCTTCTTTTTGGAGGGAATTTATTGCATGCAATTTCTAAGATACGAAATGAGTAGTTTCATGTTTTGACAGAAAGTTTTTCATATGTTCGTATACAGCGCAGAAAGAGATCACAACACACGTCAAGTGGTCGTTATTATATGTGTACAGTCAACTCTCGCCTTGCTGACACCTCGCTATAACGGACACCCCGAGAATACGGACAGTAGCTAAATCCCTAGCAAAAACAAATTACAGACGTTTGACTGAAATAAATTAAACTCCCACTATTGGGGACTCTAGCTAATGGGGACACTAACTCGAGGTCCCTTACAGTGTCCGCAATAAAGAGAGTTGACTGAAGTCCTCTTCTTTTGGAATTTTGTAGTCCTCTTTTTAAGGGTATTGGTATTGTCGAGGCTAGTAAAATGGAGAACACTATGTATTATTTATAGCTATTAGTTATTTATATCCATTTTAAACTATTCAAAGTCTGTGTCATATGAGATCGTTTAAAATTAATCTGACTGATATCCAATCTTTAGATCAACGCCAACAATTTCATTGATCGTTAATTATGTTGCACAAGTGCTTGTTCAACCAGGTCGCACCGTATATAATATTCGCGTATTTTTTACATTCAGGAATGTCTCGTGTAATTTACGTGGGCTTGGCACAACGCTTGAGCTGCCGCATCTTCTAATTTAGAATGCATAAATCTTTTACGTGAAATAGTTCATTGGCTAGGCTTTGACAGATTGTGCTACCATAATTTTTGGTATACTTTGTCATCACGAGCATAACTTCACCCTTTTTTCCCAAAAAAGCACTGCTCATTCTCGTCCCCAGAGCCACTCGGCTTAATTTGTAACCGACCAGTGGCTCTGGACGCAACGGAAAATACGAATTTTTTCATTGGCTGTAGGCAATTGAATGCGCAAAGCAAATTAAAAATATCATCTACTGCGCATAACGTTTTACTTCGTGCTCTCTCGACCTGCAAACATAAAATCAGTGTCTGAGTTTCGTTGAGATTGTTTTGTTTATATGCAACAGCAGTAAAGAAGAGAATTGCAGGTAAAGTTTGAGAAGTTTCTACGAAGACAACGAGCCTTGACAAAGAAAGTATTGCCTTCGTTGTGCGCTAAACTTTGCCCCTGTCTCGACCGTCGCATCTCCTGGGAAACTGAAAGGAGGAGTAATAGTTAGTTAGCTCTTACTGTTGCTCCTTGCTCGTTAAAAATCAAGCGATTGATACTGTACTTGTATGGCATTATTAATTAGCCTAATTAGTTTTTCTAATTCCTCTGGATATTCTTTGGTGCTACAGTAGGAAAGGAAATCAAGCTCCGACTACATTACAGAAATGATATGTACGTTAAGTTTATTGTAGTGTGCTTTTAATTTATCGTATTTTCTGCTAAAAGAACATCTCCTTTGCTATACTAATGTCAAGATAATATTTTGTTATATGCCTTTATTTCATTAGACAACACTGATGGCAGTGCACAAAGCCAGAACTGAATTGCTTATGAATCATTTTGGGCTGCATGCAAAATGCTATTTTTTAATTGTGTGAAGATGATAGAGCAAGTACTCTTTCCAATCCACGTTTTCTTCCAATTAATTAATGCTTAAATCATGCTTAGATAATTCGGAGGCTTTTTTTTTTTATTTTTATTTTAACAGTAAGAATTGGGCTGTGAAAGGAAAGGCTATGTGGCTGACTTGTTACAAATGTTTTGCAAGAAGATATTCTCATCCTAACAGTCCTTGCTTGGCGTCCAGCCGTGTGGCATTTAGACAAAGATAAACAAGGGGCTCTGGGGTCATTTATAACTGATGAACAGTTAACAAAGAAGCAGCTTTTGCACAATTTTTCTTGATAAATAATTATGTTATCTGATCACTACATAGAATAGCACAATGTTCTCAACCTTTTTGGTTTAAGACTTCTAAAATACAAGAAAACTTGACTGTTTATACTAGGCATACATTATGTGAAAACTGGTCTAGATTTTTTGCCGATGTCATGGACAACTGAGGTGTTAATAAATAAAATGATAAATGAATAACAGCCTAGAGTAGTCTATTTTGCATCATACTGGGGTAAGGGGTTGTTGATGATAACAACTGGATTTTGTAGTATGTCACCTTTGATAGGGTGGATAACATTATAGCTTGATCAACAGTAATATCATAGTTTACTCGCCAATCCTAGCCACACCTGCTCTCCACCCCTCCTTGAGCTTGCACACAGTATTGGCTTACTGATGCATAGGGCATCTAAGTTTACTTGGTTATTGACAAATAATGATGAGCCAAATTAAAACTTGCTTCCACTGGTCAATGATTCAGATCTGGTTAAACCTTTTTCCTAGTTGGAGGCCTCATGTTATAACACAAAATAATGAATTTTAAGGGAACTAAAAAATTATACATTTTCAAAACCTGTGAGCAGATATTGTACTTTAACTCTATAAAGCACCACATTCAGTTTCAATACAACTGCAGAGGGTGGGGATTGGGGATTGGGCACTATCCCCCAAAACTCAGTTCAGATTCACCCCAATGTATGCTTCTTGCCTCGCCAAATTTTGACCAAATTATGTGATTTTCACTATCCTGTTTCAAACCTGATCCAAAGTTCTATCCCCAATTTCAAACCTTGCAGGTCTTGCACTCCAGTCTCAAAACATGATGAGAACAGCTACCCAAGAAAATGCTTTTGGGTTGTGTGTTACTCAATGTGTACTTCTTAACAGGGGGATCTCTTAAAGCATACAGTCTATATACAGTGCATATATCACTCTACATTTCACCGTTCCAGATAAGAAAGTACAGCTATATAGCTTATGATAATCCGTTCTAGGTATTCAGATAGTGAGAAGTAGAGCATTAAAAAAAGCAGGGTTTTTTTAGTTTTGTTCTCTTTGCTTCCCCAATACCTGAATGTCTGGCACAGGCATAAACTACTACTTTTAAGCCTTCCTCCACCTTATAAGCCCCCCAGTTATAGGCCCTAATTTACCAGTGAACAAGAAAAAATGTCCCCCCGGTTGTAAGCCCTCCCCTAAGAAAAAAACCCTTCAAAACCCTTGCAAAGATGTGTAACCCATGAGCTCATAAGTGATACTTAAACAGGTTTCTCTCTGGATGCATTTGCATAATTACCATCACTTCCCACTAAACTAGTGTCCTGGAAAACACTTTTTATCAGTAACCGGTAATCAAAAGTACATATAACTGTTTATACCCCTATAACAGAGGTGACAAGAGCTCACCAAAACTGTGAAAGTTACAAAACCATGAATACCAAAAATTATTTAGGAATGCTATTGCGTTGCAAAGAAAAAGCTAATAAGGGGTGAGAAAACGAAACCTCAAAGAGCGATGGTAATTATTTTGCGGTTTTGAGGTTTAGTCGTGCATGTGTACTGAACATTATGGTGATAGGTCACTACACAATCAACATTTTTCAGGTATTAATGATTTTCTGAGTCTGACAGCAAAATTATTGAAAACTCTCTCTTTGAGGTACTGTCTGATTATGAGTTTTAGTCAGGAGATGATACCTGAAATCTTTAGGGAGGATAAACTCTTTTTAGCAGAACACTGAATGACCACCATAAACACCAAATGACCTAGACGTTTTATGATTAGGGTTTAATAGGAAACCTTTGTTCAAGTTCTGAACTGGAATTTGATTCACTCAGTACTGTATAAAGTTGCCATACATGGAAGCCC